GGACTCTTCAGTCAGTCCATGGGCTCAAGCTCTAGCCACTGAGACAAATGGGGTTAGTGCTAAAATGTTTATTTCTCAAAAATTAAAATTTTGGCCGAAACCTGTTTGGCTCAGTGGATAGAGCGTCAGCCTGCACACTGAAAGGTTCCAGGTTCGATTCCGGTCAAGGGCATGTACCTTGGTTGCGGGCACATCCCCAGTGGGGGGTGTGCAGGAGGCAGCTGATCAATGATTTTCTCTCATCGATGTTTCTAACTCTCTATCCCTCTCTCTTCCTCTCTGTAAAAAATCAATAAAATATATTAAAAAAACACACAAAAAAACTGTCCTGAGAACTGATGAGCTGGAGCCTTTCCGGCTTCAAGTATCAGGATTATTATCTATATTTATGATTTACAGTTTACAAGACAGACATTACTCTGCCTCCACCCTAACCGAGAACAGGACGCAGACAGGGTTGTTATTATCATTCTGTACACACCGAGAGGCTGGAGCAGCTCAGGAAGCGCGGGTCGCTCAGCAGGTGGCTGCGCTGGGTTCCAAACCTGTGCCAGGCTCCCTCCACCACAAACCACCTGCCCTCCGCGGTGTGGAGACACCATGCGCCGCCCCCAGCGAAACCGAGCGCCTTCTCCGGTTTTACTGCAGACGGGAAGGGTGTTCACGGCTGCACTGTTCGCGGGAGTGACACATATCTGAATGTCCACCGGGAGGAGGAGGATTGAATAAATTACAGGCCATTCATTCTGGAAACACTATACAGTTGTTAAGAAGAATGTGGCAGGTCTGCGTATACCGCGGGACAGGACGTGTGGTGAGATGAAAAAGAGCAAAATTGCTGGGGCAGCATGTAAGATGATTACATGTTTGTGAAAACTGTAAATGAAAATAAAATTATAAACACACACACACGTCCATAGAGGAAAGGTCAAGGAGGCTATTTTGAGGGGCATGAGCTAGCTTTTTAATGAAAACAACAAACAAGGTTAACAAAGTTCAGGAAGCCTGGGATGAAAGTGGGGGATGGCTTACGGCTTCCTCCCACTATCTCCCGGGCTACCCCATTTCTCCCCCGTCTGCTGTCCAACAAAGGAATCATAATGTCACTCTCCTCCCCTCCTCAGGCTGGGCAGTGCTCTGGTGCGGCCGGCTTTTCTCTCAGGGGCAGGCCTGGGGCTCAGGACCACAAAGCGGTCCCACCCAAATCCTCACCAACAGCAAATGAACTCGGAGATCCGTTTTGCTCGCTCCCCCTCCGCTCCGGGGTGCGCTCACCCAGATACAGGTTGGTTTCTTTGTGTCCCTTGTTCCCCTAAATCTCTTATCACGGAGGCATCGGATCCTTTGCCACCTGAGTCTGCCAACCTACTTATTTGCTCTCGAGCTGCCCAGCGCAGGGCGGCTCCCAGGCCTCCTTCCCACGGGAACCGCCCTGGAATTCTGCTCCCTCTCTCCCTCTCTCATGTGGCCGGCGGGGCGGCGTGGCGCTTTAAGAGCAGAGTGCCGTGACGGAGAGAACACAGGCTCCGGAGCGAGCCGAGCCGGACGTGGCACAAAACCCCCTCTGCCTCTGTTAGCCACACTGACCTTGGGAGAGTTTCCTAACCTCTGAAACTTCCTGAAACTTCCTGAAACTTCCCTGAACCTCAGCTTTGGCTTCTGTAAAATGAGACCGAAACCTGCGCATAGGGTTTTGGTAAAAAATAAAAAAATAAGTGAGATGAAAAATACTGAGTGTCCAGTCCAGAGTGAGGAAAACCTCGGAGGCAGCGGGAAGAAATGGGCTTTCCTGGTGGGAGGCAGAGCCCACAAAGGCGGGTTCCGCTCCATCCCACTTCTCAAGGGGCGACTTGGGCACTGGACGCAGCAGGCACTGAGCCTCGGATTCCTGATCCTTCCAGGAGCCCATGAAAATGGCTTTTAATGATTTTCATTTCTTTTAAATGTACAGGAAAAATTTGAACATTTAGGTCAAGGAAATTGTAATACTGTTATCAATTAATTGTTAATTTTACGTATAACTTTATTATTATTTTTTTCCTTACACCAACACAGTTGTAAAATATGATTTTTAACATGTATCTTTTTTTTATTTGATAGTCCTCACCCGAGGCTATTTTTCCATTGATTTTGAGAGTGGAAGGGAGGGGGAGAGACAGAGAGAGAAACCTCTATGTGAGAGAAATGCATCGATTGGTTGCCTCCTGCACAGGCTCTGACCAGTACTGGGGATCGAGCATGCAGCCCAGGTATGTGTCTTGACTGGAATCGAACCCAGGACCCTTCAGTCCAGAGGCCAACATTCTAATAATATATATATATATATATATATATATATATATATATATATATATATATATATATATTTTTTTTTTTTTTAAAGATGATAACCTTCTTCTTCTTTTTTACAAAATATATTTTTAATGATTTCAGAGAGGAAGGAAGAGAGGGAGGGACAGAAACATCAATGATGAGAAAGAATCACTGATCGGCTGCTTCCTCCTGGGAACTGAACTCACAACCCAGCATGTGCCCTTGACTGGAATTGAACCTGGACCCTCAGTCCTCAGACTGACACTCTATCCACTGAGCCAAACCAGCTAGGGCGTGGCCCTCACTTTCAACCCTCCACGAGGTTAGTTCCTTTTAAATCTTTATGGATGGACTAGGGGAAAGGATGGGAGGGGTCAGGTGGGGAAGAGACGGACAAGACCCTCAATGATCTCACTGTTTGTGACTTCTCCCGTATTGTCTCTGAACTTAATATCTGCTTGGACCCAGTGGGAGGGGACTGTATGACACATCCTAAAATACTATATCACTAACTGATGTCACTAGCTGGGTTAAGAATGTAAATATACAACTCAACAAGAACAACAAAACAAGACAATTAAAAAATGGGCACGGGGCTTGCATAGACATTTCTCCAAAGAGGATATACAGCTCAACATCACTAATCATTAGGGCAATGTAAATCAAAGCCACAGAGAGATACCACTTCGCACCCATTAAAATAGCTACTATATAAAAAGATAAAGTAATGAGAATGTGGAAAAAGTGGAACTCTTGTGCACTGCTGGTGGGAATGTAAAATGGTGCAGCCACTGTGAAAAACAGTTGACAGCCTGGCCAGTGTGGCTCAGTGGTTAAGCGTTGACCTATGAACCAGGAGGTAATGGTTTGATTCCGGGCCAGGGCACGGGCCCAGGTTATGGGCTCGATCCCCAGTGTGGGGCGTGCAGGAGGCAGCAGATCAATGATTTCTCTAATCACTGATGTTTCTATCTCCTTCTTCCTTCCTCTCTGAAATCAATAAAAATATATTTTAAAAAAGGAAAAGAAAAACAGTATGGCAGTTCCTCAAAAAAATTAAACACAGAATTACCACATGATTCAACAATTCCACTTTTGGGTATATATACCCAAAAAAATTGAAAGCAGAGACTCGGAGAGAGATCTGTATGCCCATGTTCATAGCACCATATTCACAATAGCCAAAAGATAGAAACAACTGAAGTATCTATCAGTAGATGAACGGATAAACGAACTGATTTATTATGTATATAAATAATATAATTCAGCCTTTAAAAAGGAAAGAAGTTCTGATAGGCTACCACATGGATGAAACCTGGAGATGTTATGCTAAGTGAAATAAATCAGACACAAAAGGACAAATATGATTCCACTTCTATAAGGTACTTAGTCAAATTTCTACAGACAGGAAGTGTAACGGTGGTGACCAAGGGCTGGGGGAAGAGGGAATGAGGAGCTACTGTTTAATGAACACAGAGTTCAGGAATATGGAAAAGCTCTGGAGATGGATGGTATTGATGGCTGCACAGCACTCTGAATGCTAATACTTAATATCACTATATTGTCCGCCAAAAAATGGGAACACATAATATGTGTAATTTATCACAAATTTTTTTAAAAAGAGAAAAGGAATGTAAATACCTCTCCTTTTACCCAAGTGCTGATTGCTCAGCTAGCTGCCCCAGCATCACGTGGTTCCCCCATGGGCAGGCTTATTCTGCAGGTCCTCTGCCCTCTCTTCTCCTCTTTCAGAAGCCCTCCGGGGGAAATGCAATCTCTGCAGATTCCCACATGTACCACCTCTGTGCAATGCTGTCTGTACCCCACTCTGCCATATCCATTCTGCGCCCCTCCCCCACGCAGGAGGACTCTGCCAACCAATCTAACCTTCTACCCATGTCTCCCCTTTCTCTCACCAGACAACTAACAGACTGAATTGTGTGCATCACTGAGGACATTGCTTTGGCTTTCCTTGGGGTTGCCATGCACCCGTTTCCACATCAGTAAAACAGAGCATGTCTGTCCTGATGACAAACGAAGCTGTGCATATGAACACAAGGGTGACTGGACCAACCAGGTTGTACTTCCTCCCTTAACCTAACTAGCACACAATGACAGTAATCAATGAATATATTTCATAAAGCAGATCAGCTTGGTGGGAATCCATTCCCAAAGCGATGAGAGCATAGCTCCAGGAACAATGGTGTTTTTTTTTTTTATCCTGGAGTGTATCACCAGAGGAGTGCAATTAGAAAGACGCAGAATTCCTTTCCAGGAAAAGGTGGGTTTTCAACAAACACATAACAACAACAACAACAATCATCATCATCAATGCTATTGAGAGCTTATTATACTAGGTGTTTTATATAGGTTGTCTTACAAATAACCCCATAAGATAGGTATTATCTCCCCCATTATACAAATAAGGAAACTGTAGCTTAGAGGTTAGATAACTCAGTGACACAAAGCATTAAGCGGTGGTGCCCCGAACTGGCCCAGCCCACTTCGATGCAAACGCACCAAAGTGCACACGAATTGCCTCCTGCTTCCTCCCAGGACCTTCCAGGGGCGAGGCAGCCAGAGGCCTTCCCATCTGGCCTGAGGCCTCAGGGCATCCAGAGACCGGGCTGGGGGAGAGGAGGCTGAAAAAGTGCCCATCATTCCACCTGGCACAGGCCTTCACCTACCTGCTGGAGAAGGCGTGGTGGGGAGGCCGGTCATGGCGGCCAGCGGATGGGCACCGGGAGGAGCTGGAGGTGTGACCGGGAGGCTAGTCATGGCCGCCAGCGATGGGCACCTGGAGGCAGGAGCAGATCTGCAGGAAGAGGGGAGAAGACAGGAGTGAGGTGGGAGGGGCGGGAGGAGACAACGGGAAATGCCAGAAGCCGCTGGTGCCAGGTTTTCCGGAGTCCCTTCCCCATCCCCTCTTCCCTGTGGAGCTGGCCCTGAACCCTTGTTTGGTTTCCCTGGGTAACTCCCCAGGCTGCGGTTATCAAGGGCAGGTCCGGCCGAAACCTGTTTGGCTCAATGGACAGAGCTTCGGCCTGTGGACTGAAGGGTCCCGGGTTCGATTTCGGTCAAGGGCATGTACCTGGGTTGCGGGCACATCCCCGGTGGGGGGTGTGCGGGAGGCAGCTGTTCCTCTCTAATCTATGTTTTTAGCTATCTATCCCTCTCCCTTCCTCTCTGTAAAAAATCAATAAAATGTTAAAATAAAAACAAAAAAAGAGCACACCCGGGAGACCACCGGCGTTCGGGGTGCATCATCTCTGAATGTCCTACCCCAGGTCCTGCCACCGGGTCACAGTCACCCAGCCCGAGCAAGTTGCAAAACGAGCAGCGGCCCCAGCTCGCCGACCTCGGTCCCGGTCCCCGGTCCCCGGTCCCCGGTCCCCAGCTCCCTCCAGCCCCTCCAGGGGTCAGGTTGGGGGTGCGCGGACCTGCACCTGGCTCGGGGTCGCGTGGGGGCCGGGGCGGTGTTGGGGGTGAGCCGGGCACGGATGAATGGGAGGCGGGACGCCTTTTGGCCCCAAACCACCGGCCCGCGGGCTGGACCCGCTCCCCGCGGTCCTGCCTTCCCGGTCCGCCCGCGCCGTCCGCGCACAGACCTCCGACTCCACTGCGGCCACGAGGGCCGGACCCCACCCGGCCGAGCCCGAGCCTCTGACGCCGGGCAGCCACGGACCCCGGGGGGACCCCCGACACGTCGGGTCCGCGGCGCCGGGTCCCCCCCCGCGCTCCGCCCCCGGCCCGTGCCCCGCGTTACCGGCTCCGGCGTGCGCCGCGCTGCGCTCCGGGCCTCCGCCGGGGCCGCGCTCGGCGCTCCGGTTTCGGTTCCTCCGGGGCCGGGGTGCGGCGGAGTGTGGGCGCCGGCCGCGCCCGCCCCGCGAGCTCACCTTTCCAGTCGGACGGGCTGCGGCGGGGCCGGCGCCGCTCCGCGCGTCCTGGGAGCCGAGGGGGCGGGCCGCGGGGCCGCACTCCCGCCGGGACCGACGCCGGAGCCCCGGGGAGGCGCGGGGAGGCCGGCGGCGGGGTGGGGTGGGGGCCGGCCGGTGGGTGGGACAGGAAAAGAGGAGAGAAGCCGCCCTCTGCAGGTTCCCCGGCCGCCGGCGCCGGGCCCAGGGAGGAAAGGCTGGCTTTCCTCCTCCGCCGGTCGCCGTGCCCTCCGTCCGGCGCGCTTCCTCCCTCGCCCCGGCGCTGGGTGGGCGGGGGCCCGTGGGAGCTGAACCCCGGGCCGACTGGGATCCGCTCGCTTTCCTCGCTACCCACTTTATTGGAAGTTTCAGTGAATGTGGAAAATCCCATTTACTTCCTTATCACTTAGGTTCATGGGTCGGTGTCCTGTAGCTTGGAGCGCACGGTACCCTCCCGCGGGCCGGGGGGCGGGGAGGGGGTGGGGGAGGAGGGGGACGTGGCCCCATCCGGATGGTCTTCCTCTTCGGATGTTCGTCTGAGGTGGAGGAGCGGCACGGACTTTGGACTCAAACAGTCTCAGCTCCGCAGCTTGTTGGTTGTGGGACTTGGGTAAATAGCATCTTTAAAATCTGTTCCCTCATCTCTGAAATGGGGGGCTGAAGCTGATGCTGCCCGTGAAGCCATTTCATTTCACAGACGTGGTTCTGCACATGGTAGGGTTTAATCAATGTCTTACTTTAGCCTCCTCTTGACTCACTTTTTTGTGGCAGGAAAGTTACCCAATGAATGATGATGAACTCGGTGACTGAGGATGGGCTAGTATAAACACAGGCTCTGAAATCTGCGATAAATTACTTGTCTAATTTCTCTTGTTGGGACAATACTTGTCTCAGAGTTGCTGTGAGGATGGGTTACACATAAACTAATTGCTAAAATTCTAGGGCAGATAAAAAAAATATATTATTTTTGCTGATCTGACAAAAATAGGTATAATTTTGATTCAGTCACACTGGAAGACTATTGTGTTCACTGTTGTCATTTTGAAAATTTGGCAATCTACACGGTCAGGTATTGCATGTTTTAAAAATTCTTGTGGCACACCGGTTGAAAATCACTGACCTAAAGCATTAGAACCTTACCTGGCATATAGTAAGTGCTCAATAAATGCTAGCTATTGCTATCCTGGCTTCCTAGTTCAGGTTAGAACTCTTGCGGTTATTCTGCCTTCCATCCCAGTGAAACACACTTCTGTGCTTCTTATTCTTGTAAGGAGTTTGGGAATCTAGGTTTGGGAATCACTGTTTATATAGATTGAGAGAGAGACAGGGGTTGTGCAAGTTTATTTGTGAGACAAAGACTGAAAGAGCAAGTCAGAGAATAGAGACATAGTGTGAGGGGGGGAAAAGCAAAGACATAAAATAAGCAAGGGTAGATGCTTTCATTCCTAAAGATGCTATTTACTTGGTAAAAACTGAGGATAAAACAGAGTAAGTTAATAAAATTCATTTTATTTAAATCTATCTTTAAAGGCATAGCAGTGATCAGTGAAGAAGAAAGCCCAAGAGTGGGAAAACTACTCCAACCAAGAAAGTAACACACAGGCAAGACACATATAAGATGGATGAGTCCTCAGATCAGAGAATACTCAAGAGAAAAGGAAATCCTTAGGGTTAAACTCCAAAGGTGGACAATTGCTTGTATTTACTGACAAGCTGTCCATGAATTCCAGGTAAGGTTGCAATTTTTCTTGTTTCGTGGTTGGTCTCTCTCGGCACATATTCCATTATGAATTGAAAACTGATAGAATCACAGACTCTCTTGCAATTAATTCTACACAGAGATGCATACAGATGATGGAGCCTCATGAGGGGACCTAGCAGTGTTCTCCAAGGACTAAATGCTAAATCTCAGAAACTAGAGCAGCCATCCTTTTGTCAACAGACCTCCAAGGGCCTCAGGATGGGAGATAAGAGATATTCATCTCTGCCCAATTCTACTGGATTTCAGCCCTTTATGTGTAGCTGCCAAGATGAGTCTTCTGAGTCCTGGCCTTTTCCCCCTGGACAACTTTATCATTTTGTATGTCTCAATGAACAGTCTGGTTCTTACCTGGAAATAGCTATCCTAGATAAGTAAGATTATCACTCCCGCACAACCACTGGCCCTTCCTCCTGCTTTTTGGAACTTCCAGTAGTGTCATACACAAATGAAGGGCTCATTTCACAGAGAATCCACTTCCTAGGAGATGAGGGTCAGTGAAAGCCCTGCAGAGAAAAGGGTTTTGCCAGATAAATGGGTGGGGCATTCCCAGGAGGGCCTTGGACAGCTGGTGGTCTGTATTCCAGCAGTTTCCTCACCTTCTAATACCCATGGAGCATCACTCCCAGCAGTGATTCTGAGTGCCAAAGGACTGGGATGCCTTCCAGGAGAGGTATTAAAATACAGGCAGTAGGCCTTTGGGGAGGGGGTGAGGGGATGCAGCCTTCTCTCCATTATAACAGAAGAGATCCTCTGAAGGTTTTTAAATAAAATAGCAGGATTCAATCTTTGAAAAATGTCTTCTAAATACAAACATGTAGCCTGGCTGGTGTGGCTCAGTGGTTGAGCATCAACCCATGAACCAAGAAGTTCCTGGTTCGATTAGCAGTCAGGGCATATGCCTGGGTTTTGGCTTGATTCCAAGTGGGGGGTATGCAGGAGGCAGCTGATCAATGTGTCTCTCTCATTTATAATGTTTCTATCTATCCTTCTCCCTCCTTAAAATTAATAAGAATATATTAAAATAAAATATATAAACACATATTTTCAGTTCCCTAACAGACATACCTACTAGAAAGTCCTGCAAGTTCTCAAATATTTGTATAAGATACCCAAAAATCTGCACACAAAGCATACAATTTGATCAATTTTGACACATGTATACATGTAATAAACTATCACAATAAAAATTAAGAACATTTTATCATCCCATAAGTTTCCTTGTACTTTTTGTTGCTGTTATATTTTCATTGATATCAGAGAGAGGGAGAGGGAGATACAGAAACATCATGATGAGAATTATTGATTGGCTGCCTCCTGCACATCCCCCACTTAGGATGGAGCCCAAAACCTGGGCATGTACCCTGACCAGGAATCGAACTGTCACCTCCTGGTTCATAGGTCAGTGCTCAACCATTGAGCATACTGGCTGGGATCCTTGTACTTCTTTGTAATCCACTGTCCTTCTACCATCGCCACCAACAGTCTTCTTCCTGACATTGAAGACACTAGCATGCCTCCCCTCAAACTCTTTCTCCAGGGAGCCTGGATCTGCAAAGGACACAGTGGCAGATGGCGGCTGAAGCTGTCTTCTAATGACAACTGCCAAGAGGGACAATCCACACATTCCTGCTACAGATATCTGTGGGCTGGTTCTTGCCTTCTGCAGCTTGTTTGTTCTTCCAGTTTAAACATATCCTTTATTGCTTAATTGTGTCTGTTGCTTGCAAACATAGAACCCACATACATTGCATTTCCTCTTATAGTCATCATTTCAGGGAATGGCACCATCAAATTCTAGTTTTTAAGCCTAACCTAGAATAATTTCTTAAAACTTGTCTTTATCATGTGTCATCTTTTAACACATTGCTAAATCCTGCCCATTCTTCTCCCTGATCAATATTCTGTCTCTATAAAATTCTTACTTGTTCTACTCATCATTTCTCTAGTACCTAGTACAGTGCTTGGCACTGATCAGGTACTCACTAAATGCTTGTTGAGTGATTGAACAAAAGGTGATATTGCCCATCACCTTAGAAACAAAAACCAGACGGGTTTACATGTGTCCATGTTTATCAGGGTGGCAATACTTCAAAGTTAGCTTTTAATGTATCACAGAAGCAAGTGCCACAACTGAACCCAGGACTCTTGACTCCCAATTCAATGCATTTCCATTATATTATTATACTTTGTACCCTTTTCCTTTACTTAAGAGTTCCATTTCTTCTTCCATCCTGCAGATCCTTACTTCACCAAGTACCAGACAATTAACACTAGATATACTCTAAAATGTAACCCCTTCCCCAAGGTATTTGCTTATTAACCAAGGGTGGGGGGCAGGTGCAAAGTATCTAGATTGAGGAGCCTGTGGTCCATGGCATCATCAAATAGTTAAAGCCGGAAGGTCAAATGAGCTGGAGGTCATGGATGTGACTAAAGCTTTCTGAACCCAGGGTAGAATCAATAACCTTGCCCAAGTGGGGAACAGTGTGCTGGACTGGGCCAACCTCCCTATGTCAAACAGAGACTCCATACATAGAATAAAGCTTTATTTAACAATCTGAAAATATGTTCTTTTGGCTGTAAGTCTTGAAAAATGAGTGGTTAATCCAAGATTTATTTCCTGTTCTCTTTGTATGTGTGGTTGTGTGTATGCATCCATAGATGCTTTTTGCTTATTACAGTCATTTTAGCCCCACTTTATTTAATATGTAAAGTCTTATTATATAACAGTGCTAAAATATGAATTAAATATTCCCTGAGTCTAACCATTTCTTCTCCCAAGCCTGCCTGCCTCCTTCCCTCCCCCAAGACTGCTCCTCAGCCTCCATTAATGTTAGGTCTTTAGAGACAATCACTAACCACTTTGAGAAACTAGAAATGAATGTTAGATCTTAAGTCTCTATGACTTATATACCCTCTAGCTGAAGAGTTTCTCTGGAGAGGTACATATGTGGGAGGTCTTGGCAGTTGCTCTTCACAGTTATGCACTTTGATTTGTAGATACCTGGAAAGTAAACATGATTGCATTAGATGCTCACCTGTCCTCCCACCAACCACTCAAGGAAGGTAAAAATTCAATTTGCTTCTATCAAACTATATTTCATGTCATGCACTATTGAGGGAAGTGAAGCTGGTTGTTGGGATTATTGTCAAAACTTTTTGCAGATATTGGTCATTGCATCTGTCTTCATCTCTTTATGAAATTCACAGGAGAAATTTCCTTTTCATCTTAGTAGCAGGAGTTGTTTAAAGGAATGGTGTTATGAACTGGGTGAACTGATCAGATTTTTATCTTCTTGGATGTATAAAAAGTCTGGAACCAATTTTGTGATCCATCCTTACTAAGTTTATTTCATAGAATGCATTTTCTATTTGCATAATTCATCGCTCCATTTTATGTCACTGTCATTATTTCTGAGTTACTTTGCTATATTTTATGTGTGTGTATGTATTTGTCTTTTTGTATTTAACTTTTTGAAATAAGTTCAGAAAAACTAGATAAGTACTTGGAATATAGGGCTATGGTGAGAGGTCAAGAGGTTCAAGGCCAAGTGTTGGGAAATGGACACCCCAAACCCACAATGTCCCGGTTTACTCTTGGTTCTCCTGTTCCCATCTGCTTGACTTTG